CAAGGACATAAAATTACAATTATTTAACCAAGAATTAGAGCAAGTAGAGTGTATACAATTATTAGGACTATGGTTTGATGAGAAACTAAAATGGAATGTGCATATTCAAAAAATTGTTGATAAATGTAAGAAAGTCTTAAATATTTTGAGATGCTTGGCTGGCAGGGACTGGGGAGCAGATAGACAATCACTAAAACAGATTTACACAGGTATGGTAAGATCTAACATAAACTTTGGTTGAATAGTTTACAGTTCAGCAGCTAAAACACATCTGGCTGAATTAGACATTATCCAACACCAGGCATTAAGATTATGTACTGGAGCATTTAAAACCACATCCACAGCAGCAATGCAAGGAGAAATGGGAGAAATGCTGTTGGATTTAAGAAGAACAAAACTAGAGATAAGTTATTCGTTAAATCTACAAGGTAATAACTCTGATCATCCAACTTGGGAAATTTTAAATCCATGTTGGGAAAAAGAAAATAAAGAAATGAGGAGTTTTGGATGGACAATTGAAAACAAAATGAAAGAATTTAAAATGACCCATTTAGAAATCAGTCAGACAACACCAATATGAGTTATACCACCATGGATTCCACCAGAAGCAATAGTAGATATGTCACTAATAGAAAAGAAACAAGATAAATCGTACACAGTAGATGTTAATTTAGTACAGTTACATTTAGACAGTTATTATCAATATATTCAAATTTATACAGATGCATCAAAAATAACAAGGAAATAGAAATAGCTTTTGTAGTACCAGAATTCAATATAAAAATAGGAAAAGGAATTTCAGATGGATTCTCAGTATACACAGGGGAAATGCTGGCAATAATATTAGCTTTACAATGGGTAGAAGACATAAAACCATTAAAAACAGTAATTTGTTCAGATTCAATCTCTGCATTATTAAGTTTAAAATGTAATCAGTCAGATAGTAGGATGGACATTCTATTAGAAATATTTCATACATTATTTGGAATAAAAAATATGGGTTTGATAGTTGTATTTGTGTGTGTTCGTGCAGATGGAGGGCAGATAAAATGGCAAACAGGGCAATTCAAAATCGTATTCGTTTTACAGTTAAAACAATCAGGGAAAGAGAAAAAACAGGAAGATAGTGATATAAAATTCAGAAGATATTAGGAGAAATGAAGAAATGGAAGACGAAATAGAAAGGTGATAACAAAGTTAAGCTTTGGGCATTCAGGACTTAACTATACACTTAATAAAATTCGAAAGCATACTACTGGCAAATGTGATTACTGTGGAAAATATGAAACATTAGTTATACTGGAATTTCATTAATATGAAAGTTAGAGGAGATATATGGGGAGAGAGCTTGAATGTATTAAGGAAAAGATAAACTTATAAAAAATTTGGAGGAACAATTTGGGGAGTAAACATATACAAATAATGATTTGATTTTTAAAGAAAACTAAATTATTTTATAGAATTTGATTATAGAGAGGATGTGTGTATGATATAGACGGGTAGAATACAAAGTTATGTATAAGTATGAAGTGTTTTTTTTTTTTTTTCTTTTTTTCCCTTAGAAATGATATATATATATATATATATATATATATATATATATATATATATATATATATATATATATATATATATATATATATATATATATATATATATATATATATATGTGTGTGTGTGTGTGTGTGTGTGTGTGTGTGTGTTTATTAGTAAATAGTCCATCACGAACCAAACCAGTAAGTGGCGGTAATGCTACTAAATGCCAACCGCTAATAAATCCAAGAAGAAGAAGAAGAAGAATCTGACTAAGAAGAAGAAGCAAGGTGAGACTACAGTACACAGCGCCAAAAAACTGGACATTTCTCTGAAAATACTTGGAGGAATTTGATCCATGGGCGTAGGTTTGCATAGGGACCATAGCAAAATCTTGGACCGACCTTCTTGTCCTTACCAATAATTGGATGTGAACAACATGTTTATAATTTACAGTAGTTGTTGCAGCTAGGGTGGCCAGATGTCCGGCTTAAGGGCGGACAGTCCGGATTTTCATTGCACTGTCCGGCGTCCGGCGCCGCATCCAGCCGGACGTGTATTTGTCCTCCTTTACCCCCAGTTTCCACATACTCTGTCAGCGCTCCGCTCCACTCACGTACGTCGTGTGGAGTACTTGTCTGTCATTTAAATCAATGAGAGCTATTCCACATCCTCCGCTACTCCTCCGCTCGTCACTGCCCACGTACGTCTTCTCCGTCCTTCAGCGTCAAAATACGGAGCTGAGCTATTTTTTGCTCCGCTCTGGTCCGTCCAGATCAAGACCCGCAATTCCTTTTTGTTTTTTTCGAATCGCACCAGACAGGAAAAAGAATGTAGATAAGACCCGGTTTGTCAAATTATAGTAAAAACAGATCGATAACTAGAAATTAGAGCATAGTTCGTATATATTCCCAAAAACTAAGAGCAATTAATTAAATAATTGGATGTAGACTGTTGGTGCTTCAACAGACCAGGAAGAAGTTGTGACATTCTAGGACGCATCTCAAACTTTAAAAGAAAATTCTTATTGCAGGAATGGATGAAGAGATGATGAGTTTGGAAGCAGAGAACAAACAAAGTTCATACAAACTATGTTTGATCCTAATTATTCCTGTTACAAAACTCCACAACAGAAAGAAAATATTTGGGCAGAAACTGAACATGTGCTGGATGATGATGGGGATGTATATATATCAATATCTATAGGTATATATATATATAAATATATATATATATATATATATATATATATATATATATATATATATATATATAGATATATATATATATATATATATATATATATATATATATATATAGATAGATATATATAGAGAGAGATATATAGATATATAGAGAGAGATGTAGATGTAGAGAGATTAAGAACATGGTGAAATCATCTTTAATCTTGACAGGCTGCAGCCATGTCACGAATTCCTCTTTTCAAGCCACTTTTTGAAATTTGCATTGTCCTATTCTCTACCTCTTTCTCCGCCTCGAGCTTCTTTTCCAAGAAACTGCTTTATGATCAATTGCAGCAGTTCTGCCCAAATTAATTGTGTCAAAAAATGGTAACTTTTTAAACACCACAATGTATTAAGTAAATACAAATGCTGGGAACCAAAACCTGCCGAAGGGTGGACCTGTTCGAATTTACAGCCAAAACTCTTCCGGCCTCCTTATTTTCAAGGACTTCGAAGGATCCATTCTAGGTAGACCGCGTCCTTGGAGGATGCAGCCCAGGATTTCGAACAGAGCCTCTGATTAAGAACAGGGCTGCCCGCACTGACGCGGCTCAGGGATTACTACACATGGAGCGTCATGCGCAGTGAAATCAGGACATTTCCTCACTTTCTAAAAAAAACCCGGGACGCCCGGGACAGGACGTGAAATACGGATATGTCCCGGGAAATACGGACGTTTGGTCACCCTACACTATTGGCCTTGCAAACTTGAAGACAGAAATAATAAACTATAAATTCTTACTTTGTAATCGGTTAGCTTAACTAGTCTAGTTTGAAGATTCATAAGAGATTACACTGATTTCTTTTTAAGACAAATTGTCTTTTTAACAGAGTTCCCATCAAATATAAATATTTGTCATCTATTCTAAATTGCTATGATACACATAATGTTTTTTTTTACAGGAAAAACAATTTCATATATAGTTTTAACTGCTTATGTCTATATTGTTAAACAGATAATCTTATGTTCGCCATAACTTGAGATATAGCATTGGAATCGCAACATACATTTTAAAGTGTAAATACTTGTGCTTTTAATTAAAGCGGAACATAATCTCCTAAGTTATGAAGAAGTTTTTAATGAATGATTAGAATTTTGCAACAATTTATTTCAAAACAAATGGTATGGTGGAAATAACATGGCATGGTGGAAATTACTGGTTGTTGAGGAAATTACAATGAATGGACTATACACAACAAACTTTCTTTTTAAAAACTTTATGGAGCATAATAATAAAAAATAATGATATATAAATACATTATCAAATAATATTAAATGAATGCAGTTGTGCATAGTTGGTACTAAGGGTGGGAGAGAGGAGGTGCCACCACCGCAAAATGCTTAGCATGTAAATTATAGTTAGAAACATACCAAAAGTTGTCTAGAAAAATGTTATTTCATAATATTACCACATTGTCGTAATAATAAAATTAGATACATAAAATGTGAGAGAATAAGGGCCTTGTATGTGTATCTATGAATTACGCCTACACACATAAATGTAATTTCCATCACACCATTGTAATTTCCACCAAAAAATGCAATGTGGTGGAATTTACTGTGGCGGAAATGACAATCTGTCAAAACTTGGCGGGAAAATCTATGCTAGCATCACATATTAGCTAAGAAAGGGTCTCTAGAATTTTATGGTTACAAATATGTGTGTTAAAATTACAATTAATTTACAAACTGAGTTGATGTTACGGCATGTTTGGAAATTACAACCAATATAAATATATTAATTTCAAGCAATATTTAACTTGGCTTTACTTCAAAAGTTGATGGATGAAGTCAAAATTCCCACCATGTCACTGCTGTGATGTCACTGTTCATCTCCACAGCAACTACCCAAACAGTCTTTCATAGAAACTTTTTAAAGGGACATTAGTGTTGTGGTGGAAATCACGACAATAGTGAGGGACAACTACATTTGGTTTAGAAAATTACATAAACAGTTGTATGACATTAAATACTAAAAACAGTTATTAACATAGTAATTAAAAGTACCCCTGTCTGCTTTGATATTGGTGTATCGCCTTTACATTCAAGATATCTCAAATAGTTTTATGACTAGACGTTTTAGCCATTTAAGATATCTCTAATTATATTCTATCTCTGTTTTTGAACATTACTGTATTGAAGAAAACTTAAATAGATGATTATTATTACAAAGAGAGTTTAACGTGGAAAAATAATATATTGTGTTTTTTTTATACAGGCTGCTGAAAAGTGTAAAGGATTATAAGAAAACACTAACGCGTACGACAAAGTTTCCTTTCTGTCTGATGATCACTTGCTGCTGCTGGAGTTCTGCAAACATCAGAGAATCATGATCTATAAGGTAGTGGTCAAGTCAACTGAGGGGCATGAGATAACCATTGACCTCTGCGACACAGAGGAGCAGATGCAGAGAATAACAGTGGGTCAGCTGACGGAAAAGATAGTGGAGAGACTCCCTTACACAGGTAAACTTAACAAGCCCAACACAAAACACCTGGACAACTCTTTACTTATCTCTGTATAAAGTAATAAACTCATTTTAAAACATGATTTACAAACATGCTATTAAATTATGAAAAAGTAAAGTAAATCCTGCAGAATTCTCACTGTGGGGATTGTTTGGGATGAGAACAAGCTTCATGTTAGGTGACCAAATGTTCAGTATATCAGTGGTTTCTGTGATCTAACCTGTTTGCTATCTGATGGAGCTACAGATGGAGCTCCTGTCAACATATAAAGAGGTTCTAGTCAAACAAGCAAAGTTACTAAGACTCACTGATGCACTCATACTTCTGTTAATGTTGGAATAGAACTGATGTCTAAGGATATGTTTTATTTCGGTGTGTGTCTGCTTGTAATTAACTATGAATCTGGGTCTGTTTTTTTTCATGTTTGTGCCGAAGAGGATGAATGTAGATTGATATTTGTAGGCAGGCAGTTGGAACTCACAAAACTGCTGTCTGAATATGGAATCCAAAACCATTCTTGCATACACTTGGTTCGTAGACTACGTTGTGGATGTCATCCACCATCTTCAACGGATGATGGTCTGGGTGATAAGGAGGGTGAAACTCGAAGAAGTAAGGAATATCTGGCTGATTTTTAATACTCAAAGAGACAATTTTCTTTACCCCCAAAGTGCTTGTTTCTACAGTAAAGTATCTGAAACATCAACTGGAACCACATCCCTCCTCAGCTTCATCTAAAGTCATTTTAAAATCTAAAATATTCTCACAACAATTTCAATTTAAATACAAAGGAGATTTTAAGGAATCATAGAAACCTATGCAGTAACCCTTTAAGAGGAACATTGTGAATAATACATAGTGTGTAATTTTGATTAGGTTCTAAATTAAGAGTAAAGTTCAACAGTTTAGATTAGATTGATCTAAACTGATATATTTACCTTCAGCTCTGATCCTGATTGACATGAGAAAAATTAGAAGATGAAATAAAACTGGTTGCCCAACAGAGAAAATAGATTTTGAGAGTGAATGAAGCTTTCAGTGTTTTAATCTAATGGGAATATTAAAGCTCTGGTCACAGCTCAGTTCTCTAATTGAAGAAGTTGTCTTCAGCAACAATCTGGTCTCTATATTTTTATTTTTTATATACAGCATGAAACATCTTCTATATGCTAATAAAACTTTGGGTTTAAAATATCAATGCGTTATAATGGGTCTAATAATTCTGTGACTTTATGCTTTTGTCCATATTAAAGCTATTTTTCTTTGCAAAATTTTGAGTATCTGTATTTTTTTCTTTCCTCCTGATACATTTTTAAACATAAAAACATGAAATAAGTGTGATAACGGTGCATAATCTTACCAGGGGTCACCAACGAGGCCCTTAAGGGCCATATGGGGTGCCCTCAGCAGCCTCCAGAAAAAGAACAACTCACCAATGGACTGAGTTTGAAATTTTTATTTTATTCTATTGTTGTTCTTTTGTAAACAGTATAGAGCATTTCATCATACTAATCATATAGAACATTTAAGCATGTATAGAGATTTCAAAATGACATTATCTAAAACAAAATTAAATTTAAAAGAAAACAATAAAAATGTCTTTATTATGCATTAAGTATAGGTGAATGCTGACCTCTCCAGCTCATAGGTCAGTATTAGTAGCTCGTCCTTTGACTCAGCAGTCATGAAGAATTCCTCAGTCCTAAAAAGTTCAGTGACCCCTGATCTAACCAGTAGTTCAGTAGTGCAAAAAGCTCTGAAGCAGCCTGCTAGTTCTGTTTTTAATGTTTAATGTTTAATGTTTTCTACTCATGACATTCAAAATGCTAAAGACTGTTAGATTTTGTTTCTGAGCAGGTTTAGCATCAAGTTCATGCAACAGGTCTGAATCACATCCTGGACCCTCCTCTGTAAGGACCTCCTATCTGCCATATTGCAGCTAGAACATCTATCATCTTTACAAAGGGGCATGACGTGTTTTTCTTTTAAAAATGTTACAGCATATCTGAACCTAACAATAGCCTCATTAGCACGTTTCAGACACACATTGCATATTGTAGATAGAGATGACCAGTATCAGGTTGATGTTTAAAACTACGGTATAATCCCATGTTCACAGATTTATAAGATTAAATATAAATAATACTAGTTCTATGTGATACTCGTGTGCTATTTTGGGGCCACTCCTTTAAAAACAATCAGTCATTGTTGTTAAGACTCTCCTATGGGGCAGCAAGCCCCTCCATCTGCACTGTCACCTGGCTCTCCTGCTCCGGTCTGTATGTCAGACTGCACGAGGACCTCTACCATCATTCTGCTCTTTTGGTGCTAAGCTCAAGCCTTTCTGTAAAAGAGAAAGTGTTTCCCCCCTTACACTAGTAGTGGATGCTATACTTTAAAATCAAACTGATAAACTCATTGCTTGTTACCTGGCTCTGAATGGGCATCATTCTTCTGTAATTCCATTCCTGGACCAGTTCCTGACTCATCCTCAGTGTATTTTTAATATTTACTCCTAAAATCCCTCAAACCTTCGTAGTCATCTTCCCTTTTTTTCTTTTTTTTTTTCCTGTGCACCGGACTTCTGAAAACCTGACATTCTTTGTTTGAAGCGAAACAATCTTTAAAAATTGCAGCCCGCCGTTGTCCTGGTCAAACCATTTTATGTCGGGGTGAGGGGAGTTCTAATATTTAGTTACTCTCATATCAAATGTTTTTATTAAAAATATTTTCTGAAAAATTACGTATGACTGTAACTTAAATTTTCAGAGTATCAATTTTGGGGCCCCCTCTGTCCTGGACCTGGGACAATTGACCCCTTTTGTCCCCCTCTGTCGACGGGCCTGTCTAGAGCAAATACAGGAAAGGTTAAAGCTGTTATGAATCAACTTTTTCTAGATATCTCTATTTGATGGGGAGGTTTGACAGGAATCCATAATGCTACTGACATACATGCTTCAGACACATTTCACCTCCTGAAAGCACCATTTCCAACACACCCTGAATGCAGCATCTACTCTGACCAAAGCAGAACAGAAAGTGAAAGCATTAAACATCCTGGTTGCGTCAGGCAGCAAGGTGAGGTTACAGAGCATTAAAAAAATGCAAACTTCTCTAAAAATACTTGGAGTTTAATCTTACAGTTGAGGATAAGTTGATGTATTTCTTCTTTCCAGCTGTTGACCGTTTGGTAGTACTTTCTGAAATCCAACTGATTCATAGCAGCCCTTAGTTTAAAGTCAGTTTTAATCTGCAGTGCAAAGGACCAGGAACAGTGATATATTTTTGCCTGTATTATCATTATTTTCACCATGGGGTTTTTCATTCAGCTTTCCTTCAGCTGTATTTAAAATGGGGAAAAAACAAAACCTAAACAGTTTTCCAGTAACCAGTCACACCAGTTCAGCTGTTCTGGGATGTTTATTATCTCCTGTAGAGAAGTTTAACTTCTAATAAACCATGCATTATTAAGCAAGTATTTATTCTATTATTTCTGTTTTTGAACTTTGCTGTTTTTAATAAAATTTAAGTCGATTTTTATTATATAGTTCAACATGTGATAAAACAATACATTGTGTTTTTTATACAGGCTGCTGAAAAGTGTAAAGGATAATAAGAAAACACTAATGCGGACGGCAGAGTTTACTTTCTGTCTGATGGTCACTTGCTGCTGCTGGAGTTCTGCAAACATCAGAGAATCATGATCTATCAGGTAGTGGTTACTGGAATTGACGGGCAGAAGATAACCATTGACCTCTGCAACACAGAGGAGCAGATGCAGAGAATGACAGTTGGTCAGCTGAAGGAAAAGATATTGGAGAGACTCCCTCAGTACACAGGTAAACTTAACAAGCCTGAGACAAAACACCTGAACAACTCTTTACCTACCTCTGTATAAAGTAATACATACATGTAAAAAGATGAATTGCAGACATGCTATTAAAATACACTAATGGATAAAAGTGCAAAAGTAAATCCTGCAGAATTCTCCCTGTGGGGATTGTTTGGGATGAGAACAAGCTTCATGTTAGGTGAACAAATGTTCAGTATGTCAGTGGTTTCTGTGATCTTACCTGTTTGCTGTCTGATGGAGCAGGAGATGGAGCTCCTGTCAACATATAAAGAGGTTCTAGTCAAACAAACAAACTTACTAAGACTCACTGATGCAGTCATACTTCTGTTAATGCTAGAATAGTTCTGAATCTGCGTCTTCTTTGTTTTCATGTGTGCGCAGGATGGCCACAAGACATTGGCTTAATCTTTGGAAAAAATCGGTTGAAAGATGATTCATCACTGCTGTCTGAATATGGAATCCAACACAAGTCTAGCATACATATGGTTATTTCCATTGACGGTGGAGGGGGTCCGCCTCCACCTTCCACAGATGATGGACTGGGTGATAAGGAAGGTGAAACTCGAAGAAGTAAGGAAAATGTATATATGGCTGATTTTTAATATTCAAGAGACAATTTTCTGTACCCCAAAGTTCTTCTTTCTACAGTAAAGTATCTGAAACATCAACTGGAATCACATCCCTCCTCAGCTTCATCTAAAGTCATTTTAAAATCTAAAATATTTCCCAGTTTGTACCACAAACAGTAAATAGTGTGTTTTAACAACATGCTGTGTGATAAACAAAAACATAATGCTTCCTGTTTCTTTTCAATGGATCAAACAACGAGAACATTTATAGAACAGATTCTCACAAGGAATTGTAGAAACTTATGTTGTAACCTCTAAGAAGAACGTGTGAAATTCTGATTAAGTTCTAAATTAAGAGTAAAGTTGCAAAGTTTAGATCAGAGTGATTAAAACTAGAATATTTAAACTGCATCTCCAATCCTCACTCATATGAGAAAAATAAGAAGATAAAATAAAGCTGGTGGACCAACAGAGAAAATAGATTTTAAGAGTGAATGAAGCTTTCAGTGCTTTGATCTCATGGGAATATTAAAGTAATTGAAGCAGTTGTCTTCAGCAACAATCTGGTCTCTTTTTATTTCTTATATTTTCATATACAGCATGAAACATCTTCTCTGTGCCAATAAAACTTTGGGTTTCAAATATCAATGGGTTATAATGGGTCTAATAATGCTGTCACTTTATTCTTTTGTTGATATTAAAGTGACTTTTTTGTACCAAATTTTGAGTCTGTATTTTTTTCTTTATCCAGATAACTACTTACATATAAAAAAACATGAAATAAATGAGATGACGGTGCATAATCTAACCAGGGGTCACCAACGCAGTACCCACGGGCACCACGGGGCCCTCAAGGACCATATGGGGTTTCCTCAGCGTCTTCTATAAAAAGAACAACTAACCAATGGACTGAGTTTGAAGTCTTTATTTTATTCTGTTTGTGCTGTTCTTTTGTAAAAAAAACTATAGAGCATTTCATTATAGTAATCATATAGAACATTTAAACATGTATAGAGATTTAAAAATTAAAAAAGTTGAAATTAAAACTAAAAAATAAAAATGTGTATTAAATGTGCATTAAAGGGGTCATAGAATGATTCTATAGGGTATTTCATGCTGAAATGACATTTTTGCTTTTCTATGAGCCCTAATGCAAGCCCCAGAATGAAACAACAGGTTTTCTTCCTTTCATGGTATGCTCATCAATATTTAGATGAGCTGTGCCCTGATTGGTTGGTTTACAACAAGTTAAGCTGCTGAGCAAAGACGCATCATAGCAACAAGCACTCACTCACTGAAACATCGAGATTGTTGATATAATAGGGTGACCAGACATGTCCTACTTTTCATACCTAAAAAAATGTTCGGGGGGAATTTCAAAATCGTCCTGGATTTTGGTCGACTACATTGCAGCA